CCCCTCACCGCCCCCTGCTGTGCTGAGGCTGGTGCCCCAACTCGGCTGCACAGTGGAGGGAACCGGGGTCTCCAGCCTTCTCAAGGCTGCATGGGCCTCCTGGGAAGGGCACCGTTGGCTGAGAGCTGAGAACTGGCCCCACTGTGAGGCCCCGGACAGGCTGCCCCTGGCATCAGAGGGCTGTGGGCACCGCCTGGCCTGTCCGCCGAGTCTTTAGCAGACTCGAAAAGCACCGTCCTGGGCCCGCCCTCTTCTCATCTGGTGCCCTCCTCGGGTTCCTTGGCCGGCCGGCCGTCTGCCGTGCAAACACCACAGGAGGCTGACCCACATGTCTGCAGTCTTCACAGCACCGCCACTGGATGTAACTGCTGAAGCCAGCCCCTGCTCCTCCCCAGGCCCCCCACCACCACCCCCAGCAGGAAATGACAGAACCCATCTCCTTTCACACCACATCCGAGATCTCTGTCAATCCTGTTGCTTCTTCCCATCTTCAAAGCCGAACCAGAACCAAGCCCTTCTGCCCACCTCCAGGCTGCCTTCCCGGCCACGCCTCCACAGCTTGCGCCTGGATTGTTACCATAGCCCCCTCCTCGCTCTCCCTGCTCCCACCCTCATCCCTACAGTGTGTTCTCAGTAAAAGTGGGACATCCACTCAGGTGACTCCTCTGCTCCAGAACCTTCAGTGGCTCCCTATTTCACTCAGAATAAAACCCGGGTCCCTATAGGAGCCTGTGTGATGTGGCCTCCCATTATCTTTCTGACCTCAGACCCTGGTCCTCCACCACGAGGAGCCCACTCCGGTCTCTCTGCCGTTCTTCCAGCCAGCCACCCGGCGAGCTCCCTCGCCCCCTTCCGGTCTGGGCTCCGGCAGCCTCTTCCACAAGCATCCTACTGAAATTTGCTAACCCTGCAACGGGCAGCTCCCCAGCCCCGTGCCTGCTTGAATTTTTTCAGCAGCATTTAGCACTTGTAACACACTACAGCGTCTGCGTTTCTCTTGTTTGTCGTCTGTCTTCCCCACTCAGATGTACACTCACGTGGGGAGGGAATTTTTTGCCTGTGTCGTTCACACAATATTCTCAGCTCAGGAGGGTCTGTCGAGGAGCAGATGCTAATTAGTGGATGCATGGTCCGCGGCCAGGGATCCATGGAGGGCGGCCAGGCCCATCTCCTGGGGAGTCCCCATGGGTGGGCATGTGGCCGTGTGCCCACTGAGAATGGCCATGCCCTAAACCTGGAGTCGGGAAACCCTGACTTGAATGAGAAACTATGGCCCAGTGTTCCTGTCCCTGCCCCTGGCAGTGTGTCTGGTGAGGCAACCCTGCCTTCCCGGCTGCCCAGCCACTCCTGGAGGCCTTCCCACCTGCCCCTGTGCCCCGTGCCTGCCCCTCAAACCCGAGCCTGGGCCCCTGGGGGCCAGAACAGCCTGACACTCACGTTGTCCTCGTTGAGCTTGTCGATGGTCATCTTGGCCTCCAGCAGGTGGTTGTTGAGAGCGACTATCTCGTGGCTCAGAGCTCGCTTCTCCTCGTCGTAGTGCTTGCCCTTGGGCAGGGGGAGGGCAGTGGACGGAGGCGGTCAGTGGTCAGCCAAGGCCTGGGGCTCACGCCCCTTGTTCCCTTAGGCCTCTTGTGTGCCCTCTTGCAGCCCCTAACGACCAGGTGTTGGAGGGCCCCGGAGCGCAGGGGTAAGCGCACAGACCGCCCCAGGTTCAAATCCTACTCCGCCACTGACGAGCCAGATGGCATCGGGCAAGCCTGCCTCCCTGAGCCCCGGTTTCTCATCTGGACACAGGAGAGCAAGGCCCGGCCGCCTGGGGATCCGGGGCGAGGACTGAGCGAGGATGCCTCGCGCCCCGCAAGGAGCCTGACCTATCTCATCCAACAGACTGGGAAGCCAAGGCTCAGAGAGGCAGGGGCCCTTGTCCAGGGCACCAGGCAGAGCCAGCCCCACCACGCCCACGGCTCTGACAGCACCTGGAAGGCAGGCAGGCGCTGAACGCCGGTTTCTGATTTCCCAAAACCGAAGAACCTTGTACCCAAACTAGACAGAGAGGAAAGTCCTCCCATTGAGGTGGGGGGGGGGGGGGGGGGGGGGCACCAGGAGGCTCGCACAGCCTCTCTACTCTCCAACCCAGGTCGTGCCAGCCCGATCCACAGAGGGAAGGCGGCACTGCCAAGGTTACTGCAGGTGTGTGTGTGTGTGTGTGTGTGTGTGTGTGTGTGTGTGTCCAGGAGAGTCAAGGCCCCCTGGGGCCACAGTCAGCGGGACAGGGCCCATGAGAGGTACAGCTGGGGAGCGAACCTGGCTCTGGCTCACTCAGGGCCTGCGTCTCCGGCTGACGCTGAGCTGAGGTCG